TCAAACCCATTCCTTCATTTATGATTTTTGAAATTCCCCTTGGAAGTGGGAATTTGTTGGTGTTTCAAGAGGGAACTTTGTTACTCTTACCTTTTTCTCTTCCTTGGTGCTTCTAGGCTTCCATTTGGTGACCCTTGGAGTTTCGAATTTGGGGCTATTTTGAGGGTTTTGCTTGATTTAAGGTAGGGGTTATTTCTAAAATTCACAACCATTTGTTCTTGGTAAATTATTTCCTTAAATTTGCATTATAGCATGTATAGAATTTAAGCCTTTTATGATTGTGGTTTATGTAACACATGTTTAATTTAACTATTGGAATGTTATGTGAATATTTTTGAATCAATGTATACTTCCTATGTCTAATTGCCTTGTTTTAGAGGTTGATTTCATGTTAATCTGGAATTGTGTCTATTACTTGTAAACTGCCATGTTAGTTTTACTTCTAAAACATGATTTATAGAAATGTTTATTGATGTATGAAATGCTAAGTTGGCATGCTGATTTTATGTTATAAATGCTATAGTCATTATATGAAAACTGCTATGTTGAATTGCTCTTAAATCGTGAATTATTAAAGTGGGCTTTGATGTAGAAATTGCCATGTTACTATAACATTGTGAAGCATGTATATTTGATAAGCACCGAATATTGCATATTCAAACACCCTTAATTGCATGGTTTAGTCTATTTAGCATAATAATAAAGTGTCTTTCACATACTTTTGTGTTTATTTGTTATTTTTAAGATTTATCTCCAAAATGGTGTAAAAAGGGGATTTTAAAGGTTTTTAATGAACAAGGTGTTTGGCGAGCTATGGATCCCGGCAAAATGGACTTAAGTCTAAGATCATATTCAGCCTGAGAATGAAGTCAGGCCCGAGAAGCTAAATAAGAAGGAGAAGTCAACTATGAAGGGCATAACATAGCATTTAGACGCACTCTCCAAGCGCAATTCTGGCATCCGGATGCCCTTTGAAAATTAGAACAGCAAATTCAATTTAATAAAAGTTAAAATTCTAGTAGCCAGCTAAAAATGCATCCGGAAGCTCAGCCATGTGTCCAAACACTCAATGCCATAAGCCTTACAAGCGAGCATCCAACGCACACCAAGAGAACTATCTGCACACTCAGCGTCCAGACACCTTCCTTGCGTCCAGATGCACACCTGCGCAGATTTGAAATTTCAGTTACTTTTCTCTCTCCTCTCCATATGAATGCACAATTTTAATGGTTTCTAAACTGGATTATACCAGAAGGGGTTATATACACATATGTAATGTTGTATCACATATAATATATTAGATTGGAATTCGAATTTTGTAAGTTTCTAGAGAGAGAAAGTGAGGAATAGTTATGGTTCTTGAATGTTTTTGGGCATGGCTGCCATGGAGCTGGAGATGGAGGCTTCCTTTTCAACCATCGGAGCTTCTACCACAACCAGGATGAGCTAAATCCCCTTCTAAGGGATTGGGGTAGCCTTGATCAAAGTAGTCACGTAGTCTTTGTAATTTAATTTGGGGATTACTTTTGTATGTGATGAGTTTCATGAATAAGAAGATGACATTTTGTCAATTTGTGTATTTACATTGAATTAATTTATGATTTGTGCAGAATATATATATATATAAGTATATATGCCATGTAATTCTTGTCTTAGAACCATGGTTATATAGTTATATTCTTGATATCTTTGTATGTGACATTAAAGATTGAGTTCATGAAATGGGATTATAGGCATGTTATATATGAATTTAAATAGATTATGCCAAGGGAAGATGAACCATGCTACACCCCTAGTTTAATGTAGTTAGGTAGATAGTCCATGCCAACCAAAGATAGTCTATGCTAGAGAATTGATTTCATGTGCTAAAACTTGTGATGTCAAGACCTTGATAGGCCATGCCTAGGGACGTTGGCTCATACCACACCCTAGTTTAGGTGGATGAGCCGTGACAACCGCAGATGGGTTATGTTTAGTCTTAAATTGCATGAATTTTTGAAAAATTGTTGTGGTTGTTTTATACTTCTACACTTTAACATCACATGTAATTGTTTCCCCAAGTTATTTACAATTGAGCATGATTACGAGGTCTTGGTGAACTCAATTCCCTAACATCCCTTTAATTGTTATTATCCTTGAATTCAATTTAGTTTTATTGAATTTTTATGCAAGCGACAAACAAACCAACTCTTCAAACCATCTTTTGTGACATTAACAAACACAAAATTAGTCTTTGAAACTTGATTGCCATAAGCTTTGTAATCTTCGTGGATCGATACCCCTACTTAGCTGCTTTCTTAGTGAATTCGTGCTTTAGCCAGTGGATTTATAATTAAAGCTACCCTGAGTGACACATCAATTTTTGGTGTCGTTGCCGGGGATTGCAATTAGCTTTGTTATCAAAAATTTTAAAGATAAAATTCAGTTTGTTCGTAAATAGGGCTGTAAACGAGCTAAGTAATGGTGTGCTCGAGCTCGGCTCTGTCAAATAATAGGCTGCTCAAGCTTGGCTCGAGCTCGAGTCGAGCCTAGAAATTTAGTTTGAGCTTGGCTCGGGCTATGTTTGACAAGTTTCGAGCCGGAACTTGATAGCTTATGGGCGACAACTCTCAGTGCCAAAAATCGGTACAACGATGATGACTGGCAAGGAATCACCTTGGTCGCTGAAAAAGACAGAGACGATGAGAGAGGGAGCAAATGGCGGGAGATAGAGCGCCCGAAAAAGAGAGGGCTGATGGTAGTACCGGTGGAGGTTGGTATATATATATATATAAGGAGAGACAGAAGAGGATATATGAGGGTTGAATGGTGATGGACGAAGGTGGTGAAGCCACCGGTGGTAGATGGAAGGGATGCCGGAGGTAGAAGATAGGGTAAATGAGGGAGTGAGATCCTGGCGATTGTTCTTCATTGATGGTTGCCTGGTTGGGGATCGTTGGTGGTCAATGATGAGAGAGAGAGAACAGATCGACATTCGTTGATAGTTGCCTGGTTGGGGATCTGGTCAATGATGAGAGAAAAAGAACCGATCGAGAATTTGAGATGGAGGCACAGTGGTCAATGATGAGAGAGAGATAACAGATTGAGAATTTGAGATGGAGGTGCAGTGGTCAATCAACCCTAAACATAAAAGGGTTTATATACAAAGACAAGAAAGGTGTATTTGCATAATAAGTACAAACTTTGTATACAATTACAATATGACCCCAACATAAATATATATCTACATATAAATGTGCTACGTACAATTACAATATGACCCTAACTTTTATATATATTATAATTTGGTATGTATATATATTATAATCGAGTATGTTCATGAACGCATTATCGAGCCTAGTTCATGAACAGTTCTTGAACAAATGAGTCGAGTATACTGATGTACAGACTCGGCTCGTTTATAAATCAAGCCTCATAATTCGACTCGAGCTTGGTTCACTTGTTAACGAACCGAGCTCGAGCCGAGTAATTAATAAGCTGAGCCCGAGCAGTTCGCGAATGGCTCGGCTCGTTTACAGCCCTATTCGTAAATATAATTTTTGTAGATATTTCTTCTGTTTTTCATTTGTTTGCTAAGTGTTTTGAGTGTAGATTTGACACGAAGGGGTTACTTTGGAGTTGTGTCGCAAGTGCTGAAAAATTCTGGAAAATTGAAGAATTGCAACCCCTTTGTAAGTGTTTCAAAGTTGATAATTGCTGCATTTAAATTCTTGGTATTTTTGGCTTCGTATGGATGCATGCTAGTTGATGTTGGGTTATAGTTTATTAACATTGCCAATCATTGAAGAACAAGTTGACATAGTTTCATTAAAAAGGACTCTTGGACAACATAAAAGGAGCCTTAGGGATCCCAGAAATTTAAGAGAAATTCAAATTGAAATTGACAACATGGCTAAAAATATGGAAAATGTTAGAGACAATGTTAGGGTTGAAATTCCTAGTGTCAACAATCATGAAATTGTTAATGAAAATGTAGCACCCTTGACTCTTAGAAACTATTTTATCCCATCAACATATACATTTCCATCTTGCATCATCATGCCCAATGTCGATGGCCATTAATATGAAATCAAATCCAGCACAATCCAAATGCTTCCATCCTACCATGGATTTGATAATGAGGACCCTTACAAGCATCTTGATGAGTTTTTAGAAATCTGCTCTACCATCAAGGTGAGGGATTTTCCTCAACAAGCTCTTCACATGCGTTTTTTTCTGTTCTCTCTAAAAGATAGGGCAAAATATTGGTTAAATTCCCTTGTTGCAAATTCCATCACTACATAGCCCAATAGCAACAAGAATTCCTTAAAAAGTACTATCCTGTGGGTGAGACCAATCAAATGCGTCGCTCCATTCTTAGTTTCTCCTAAATAGATGGGGAACAATTCTATGAGACGTAGGAAAGATTACAAGATCTTCTTAGGAAGTATCTGCACCACCAAATTCCAAAATGGCAATTGGTGCAAGCCTTCTATGATGGTTTAACCGAACCACATAGACAATTGATTGATTCTTCTTGTGGGGGCATGTTCATGTCCAAAAATGCAGATGAAACATGGACTTTACTTAAAAATATGCGCGATAACTCTGCTCAACATAATTCTCGTAGAGCTCTTACTTCTAGTGTTGGAAAGCCCTCAAATCCGTGCTAACCATGGACTTTAAGGGAAGAATAATCTCAAGTGGATGCCGTAGCACATAAAGTTTTTCAGCTAGTGGCACCGCATTTCTCTTCTTTTCAAAATTCTTCATCAAGTGCTATGTGTGCATCTTTCTTAAGCACTTTTCATCATAAAGAAGATTGCCCCACATCAGAGCAATTTTCTGGAGGTACGCAAGAGCAGTCTAATGCCATGTTCTCTCGTCTTGGACAAAATCTGTACTCTAATACTTACAATCCGGGATAGAGAGATCACCCGAATTTTTCATGGAGGTAACCAGCCCTACAAAATTCAGCATTCGAAGTTCATGGGCAATAAAATCAATCTAATGTTCAACCCATGAGCCAGCCATTCCAAACTTCTACAAGTTATCGTCCTCCTCTATATAATCAAAGCTCTTCAAGTCCAAATTCTGCTCCTCTCCACCCATCCCAATTGGATGAGATATTGAACACCAACAAGCAAATCATAGTTGCCCTTAATGGCATGCAATCAACTGTGCAACTGGTCAATACTCATTCCCAATCAATAGCCAAAATTGAAACCCAACTGGGAAAATTGGCTACTTCTGTAAATCAGCATCATAAAAGGGACATGGGTAAACTTCCATCTAAAACTGTGCTAAACTCGAAAGGGCAATTTGTGATTGATGAACCCCCTCCTCCCAGTGGACCACATCATGAACAAATCTATGCGATTACCACACTTCGGAGTGGAAGAGTTGCGGATAACAAGGTTGGGGAAGAGACTGAAATTCTAGCTCCCAAAGATTCAAGTCCCCCCAAAAATTTGAAAATCAGTCCAAAAATTCCAAATTCACTAATCCCAAGTATTGAGACATCTTATGAGCCCAAGGGTCCTTATCCTCAACGTCTCAAAGAATTTACTCACTTTAGGAACAAGGGCTGCAAAATTCAGGATATGTTGGAAGTCTTTAGGCAAGTAAAGATCAACATTCCTCTTCTCGATGCCATACAACAAATTCCACCTTATGCAAAATTTCTTAAGGATTTGTGTACACAGAAACGCATCTACAAAAGCAACATTCCTAAAAGGGTGAGGTTGACTAAACAAGTGAGTGCTATCATTTAGCACAATACACCTCTAAAATTCAAGGATCCGGGTGCCCCGATAATTTCGTGTGTCATTGGAGACAACGAGATTGAAAAGACCCTCACTGACTTAAGAGCGAGTGTAAATTTGATCCTTTATTCACTCTACTTGCAACTTGGCTTGGGCGATCTAAAACCCACTTTGGTTGTCTTGCAACTTACGGATAGATCCATCAAGCAACCTCGTGGTATCATTGAAGGTGTAATCATTAAGGTGGACAAGTTCTACTTCCTGGTAGACTTCTTAGTTCTAGATACCGAACCAGTCCACAATCCTAAAAATCACATTCTCGTGATTCTTGGTCGGCCTTTCTTAGCCACGACTAATGCTTTAATTAATTACCGAACTGGGGTGATGAATATTTCTTTTGGGAATACGAAGGTTAAGCTCAACATCTTCAATGCTTCTCAACATCCTCTGGATGAAAATGAATGTTTTACTCTTGACACATCAGATGAATTGGTCAAAGATTCTCTCTTATTCATTCCAAGTCAAAATGTTCTTGAAATTCAGAAAATTCATGATAAATCTGACAAGGTTGTTATCAATGAACTTAGTTAGAAGGAAAATTCAGAACTTGATGTAAATCCAACTTTTCAGTCTTCTCGGTGGGAACCACCAAAGGAATCCTTCTATTGGAAAAATGAATCTCTTCTCATTCCTCCAATCGAATCCCTGAACTTCAAAGTGGAACCACCGTATATATGTGAAAAAGGTAATCACCTTTTCATGAATATCCAAAGGGAAAATTTTGAAGAGACTTTGTCATTACCTCAAAAACAACCGGATAATTTGAATTTAAAAATGAATAATCTTAGGTTGTGGGGTGTGCTTGAAAAACTTAGGACCAAACTTGCTTATTTCATCCCATCACCGGGCATTGATCCAAGTTTGCAACCCTATGAGGGAAACGAGTCGTTGATCGGTTGGTCAATTAACATCAACCTTCGCAATAGCACGAATCATTGTAAAATAGGGCTATTGGTCGGGTAAGTCGAACCACTGGGACTGCGCTAGTCTATGGCAACCTAAGAGTCTAGATTACTTTTAGAATGATGAGGGGGTATATAGAGTTTTGTTGGTTTGTCACTTAGTCACTAGAATTGAAATGTGCTTAAAGAAATAAATGCAAGGAATTTAAGAAGAAGAAGTCTAGAAAAGGAGGTCTAGGGAAGTGAATTCACCACCAATCCTATAAACATACTAAATTTCTATTAACTTGGGAAACAATTTCACTACATGGCAATGATATGTAGTAATACTAGATTGCTACATTATCCTCAAGAAAATCATAGGATCAAGATTTAAGTATAATCCCTCAAAGAGCCACATGCTAGAACTACCTAGATTAGGTGTAGCCATAACATGCTCACTAAGCTAGGGACCATCAAACCCCTTAATCACTATGGTAATAGCACATGAAGTCAAGATACAAGATTAATCCATCAAAAGGAAGTCTTAAGCTATGGATTAACAAATTTCTCATACAACATGCCTTTAAACCCATTTCACAATTTCATTTCCATTCTCACTATGAAGATGCAAGTTATATAATCATGAGAGGATAAAATCTAAGACAAGATAAGAACTCAACATGATCATTTATAGGCATTGAAATCCATTACAACAAGTGTAAGTGCTCTAAATCATGAAACTACCATGTACATGAATCATTCCCCAAATTAGATGAAATTAAAGCATGCTTACAAGAGAGAGCTTCATCACCTCCCTAGATGGAGGTTTAGTTATCCATGGATACAAAAATGGAAGAAGGAAGATTGGAAGAATAAGCCATTTTCGAGCTCCCTTCCTTTGGCTTCAAGAACACACCCTCCTTGCTCTCTTCTCTCTCCTCTAATCTTGCAAAATGAAGCTTAATCATATATGTGGCCTTTGGGTAGCCTTTTATGCTCCAACCATACCCTCTCTCCTCCAAGGGACACCTCCAACCACTTCATAAAGAGGGAAGATGGCATTGAGGAATCCAATGTGCAAGTGGGCTGAAATGAGCCATTTCCGAAGGGCATTCTGCCTGATTTTCGAGCGCACGCTTGGTGACTTCGAGCACTCTAACTTAGTGCAATGTGTAACATGCTCCTCTTGCTCAGTGCTGACCTATTTTGGGAAAACTGCTATAACTTTGTGCCCCGAACTCCGAATGACGATCTGTTTGAAGCTTTGGAGAGCTGATTCAGTGCTTTAAAAACTTCATGTTTTGATGAAGACCCAAATCTCAAGTCTGGTTGGTCGAAAATGGGGAGAAAGGCAGTACATCAGTGCTGCCAGGCAGTTCTGCGCACCTCTGTTGTGAAGATCATAACTCTCTGCTCCGAACTCCGAATGATGAACCACTTGAAGCTTTGGAAAGCTGATTCAGAGCTCTAAATCTTTCATGTTATGAAGGAAGTCCAGATCTCGAGTTTGGAAGGTCAAAATGGCAAGCAAAGACCAGGCTCTACTGCTGCCAGAATTCAGCATTGGCACCCTTTTGTTGCTCAAGACTCCACAAGGCCTTATTCTTGTTCCATTTTGGCCAATGAACCTGAAAATGCATAAAAACATAGAATTGGAGTTAATCTACATAAAATAATTAATAACTGGACTTTGTTAATGTAATTTAGGGCGCTTGAATATACATTATTCGGCGCTCATCACACCCCCAAACTTACATTTTGCTAGTCCCTTAGCAAAACTACAATGAAAAACATAAAGAAAAGACAACCATGGGCATGCTACTACAAAAAATATCCTCCATGGTAAAATGAGATAGATACATAGCTCAAATACAACTTGAAACAGACAAAAACTAGAGATGGGGTCATTGGGAAAACTACCTTGCATATATGAAGCATTGATACAAAAATTGGCTAAATACCTTTCCACATACATGCATCAACATCAAAGTCTATATAAATAACTCAATTATCATCTCTTGAATGGAAATCAACTCTAGCTTCAGTGAAAGTGAATTGGATTCTCAACATGCGGCTTTTACTTTCTTTTCCAATTCCAAGGTACAAGTTTTCAAGTCAATGAATTCCCTTTTACATGAAGTCCCTAAGGCATGATTTTATTTTCAAGACAACTTTTGTTGCTTGTTAACAATTTATTTCAACACATAAGCGAAACATAGAATGGTTGTGCAATGCTGAAGTCCCTTAAGCTTTCTAACCAACCCTTGTAGCAAGCGTTAGGCCAACAACTCCCAAACCAGATGGCTTTAGGGTGCTAAGTGTAGAGACACTCCTAGGGCTTAATAGCTCGAGCTGGAAAGGCTACGAACTCCAACGAACCATGTTTATTACTAGTTTAATTTTTTTTTGAATGACCGTGCAATGTTTAAGTCCCTTAAGCTTTCTAACCAACCCTTGTAGCAAGCGTTAGGCCAACAACTCCCAAACCAGATGGCTTTAGGGTGCTAAGTGTAGAGACACTCCTAGGGCTTAATAGCTCGAGCTGGAAAGGCTACGAACGTCAACTGGTCATTATTATTATTATTATTATTATTTTTTTTTTTTTTTTTTTTTTTTTTTTTTTTTTTTTTTTTTTGAATAAACATGCCAAAGGTATCCATCTATCAGGTTCATCAAATCAGATTAACTAGGCCAAGGTCAAGGTCAATCAAGTTGCATGCCTCACAGTTAAGTTTCCAATGTGCATCTGTGCATTGTGAAGCTTATAAGAGTGTAAATCCAGCAAGAATCTAATTGAGGCATTTATACAGACTACATTGTATTTACATGATCATTTCAACTCAAATTTTTCTTTATTTTCAAAATTTTTCAATTGCTTCTATACACAAGGTATTAAACATATGTTTCATCTCCGACAAGTGTCAAGTTATACTATCATTGCTTTAGCAAAAATTATGGAACCAAAAATATGCCAAGAATGCTTGATGCACCCCCAAACTTAAACGACACAGTGTCCTCAATGTGGACATGGATGCAAGTGAGAGACAAAAATGACAACGAGTACAAAAGGAACAACAATACCCGGGGGAGGGAATGGCATTTGGAGACAAAAACCCCCAAACTTGAACCGGACTGCGCAACCTGGAAAGCAATATGAAGAACCAAAAGAAACAACCACAAACATATTAATAGCACAAGCATAAAGACAGAAAACGAATGTATCGAAAATTAACAGAACATAAAGAACTTGCATTGCATAAAGAGTTTACATGATGACAAAAAGAACTGTACAGGGATCATGTCGACCAGAGTAACCTATACATAGCAAATTCTTACAGTTTAAAAGGAAAACAAAATATACAAGAGAAATAGGTACAGATGAAACAAAAGAGAAGGTCCACACGCGCAACAAGCTACTGGCCAGAAGGTAAACGGGCGAGGATGGAATGGAGGAGAGATTGAGTCTTACGCCGTTCAGCGGAAGCCAAACGACGGTCCTCAGCGGCGACACGGCGGTCTTCAGCAGCAAGACGACGATCTTCCTCAGCACGTGAAGAAGACTCACACAGAGCCTGAGTGCACGCGGACAAAGAATGCTCAAAACGATCTAGTCGCGCATGAATACCGGCAATGGAAGCTCGGATGAAAGCCTGGTCCTGGTGAGAGTCGACCGAAGGCTCTATCGTCGCAGTGGCTGCGGCGGTGGAAACTGCCTCAGAAGGAGGAGGAGGTGGAGCGTGGATGAACAGGGGGGCAGGAGGCGGAGGGGTACTAGAATGGCTCAGAACATTGATCCACCGGCGCTGGGTAAAAATTTTGATTTTGTCGCCTCTTGGTTCGTGGGGAGGAACAACGAAACCCTTGTGCTGAAGGAGTCGAGTGATGAAAAACGGCAAAGGCAATTTCCGATTTTCAACTCGCGGAGCCCGTGCATTATGAGCATCATGCCAAAACTTCATAAAGGTGGACCAAATGAGCTCTGGGATGGAGAACCATTGGCCTTGGTCCATGGCATATAAGGCTTGCAGAAAGAGGCCCCGACGCTCGGTGCTGTGCACCAAAGGGCAAACATTGTGCTTGAAGACAGTGTCAATGAACCATAGGCGTTCCGGAAGATTGGTTTTGCGGATAAAAGACCGGGGCCGAGTAGGATCGTCAATAGGGCAAATGGCAGCGGCAATCTGCGCCACAGTTAATGTATCCGGCTCCTCATATAAAGGGAGATTCTCACGATTGACAATGTCATCGGGGCACTCAATGGGGCAACCAGAAACCTGAATGATGTCAGTCATAGTGAAAGCATAGGCGGTGCCGTCAATGGATGTAGTGAGAGAAATGGGTGGCTCTTCAGGGCACTGGAGATTCTGGTAGAAGAGGCGCACTACACGGGGGTAGGCAACCCTGGCAAGGGGTGCGCAAATGTGCTGCAGACGCCGGTTAGTCAATTCGGCGACAGCCCACGAAGTTGTGGGTAGAATGTCAAAGGCATCCGTGAGCGGAAATGAGAGTTCGTAGTTGAGTTGTTTGCGATCCCAAGGATCACGTGGTCGCTCACGAGTGACAGCACGGGCACCTGAAGAGGGTCGAGGAGGGCGAGAAGGACCGGCACGAGACATTTAGAGAGGTGGACTTGGTTGAGGAATTTCA